ATCTTTGGGGACTATTATTTTGTCTACCACACCAGGTCACTCTTATATGTCCTTAGCAACTTCTGCATAATTTTTCCAGACTTCTTATATTTCATATTACTAATTCAATTGGTTGGTTTACTGGCTTGGTTGTGAGTTTATTGAGAGGAGGGCACATCACCTCTCTTCTTTACCATTAGACTGGGATTTCTTAAGACAGTGTATATTGTAAGCACCCAATATAGTTATATTGACTAACTGCTTGAGTAAATGAATGAATTAATGAATGAGATGCTCAATAAAATGTGTATTTGTTTTCCAAAAATAGTATTGTGGTTTGTCTTAAATATTTCTTGTTTCCTTGGGAAATTAGAGATGTAAATCTACTTCTCAATAATTAATTGATATTAATAGAAAATGCCTTCTTTTAAACAATTATGAATGACTCACAGACTGTCAAGAACCTTTTGAAGCATATAAAAAGCACTCCTAAACTATGTAACTACAAATGCTTTTTAATTAAAGGACTTAATCAATATTCCACAGGAAAGAGTTAGTTTTCACAGTCTAGAGTTAATTGCCCAGCCACATCTGATGATTAGTTTTTTCTGAATTTTTTTTTTTTTTTTGTAGATAAAGCCCGTATTTTACCACATCCTGCATGGTAGATATTAGTTGTCTCCTTTGCACATGCTCCAAGGTTACCTAATTTTGCTTAAGACAGGATATTAGCTGTGTATTTACTTTACTCTTTTCTAGGACAATGTGATTTTTATTGCAACGGTTGATTTACTTAGAAGCTTAGGGCACAAGGTTATAGTCATAAAATCAGTACAACGGCAGAACTGATAGGATACTGTGTAAAAGAAAATAACTTATTTTTGATAAGATTTCAGAAATGTCAATTGTATTTAAGTTTCATTTGATAATTGTAACTTTCCATTTAAGGATGTCTTTTTTATTCTAAAAAGACATCATGAATTGCTTCTGTTAAAATAGCTTACTTAAATTATTAAGCTATTTATAGCTTACAACTACTCAGCACAATTCTTTTGTTTTTTTGATCATCTAAAAACATGCACATATTTTAATTAAAAATATAAATAAATAGATAGATAGATAGATAAAAATTCCATTTATTTTTTGTTTTCCTTTGTTAGAATGTAAGCTTCATGAGGGCAGAGATTGTTTGTTTGTTTGTTTGTTTTTTCTGTTTTATTCACTACCCTATCTTCAACACCTAGGAGAGCGCCTTATCTTCTTGTTCTTGGAGCAGTAACCTTTAAAATGCTGAAGAATAATGAATGAGGCCTAGAAACACAGGAAAGACAATAGCATGTAAATGAAGCACCCAAACAAAAATTAAAATGTGCACATTAATTCAAATTAGAACAAAAAGGATGTAATCCTGGTGAAAAAGAATTATGTAAATGTTGTCTTGCAGCCAAAAGTGTCCTTATCAGATTTTCACAAGTTAAAGCGCTTACCTCACGATCTTAGGATGAAATTCTGTAAGAACAAAAAAACAAGAATGGATACTTCTAGAATTTTTCAACACATAATATTCTGTGCTCAGTCTAAGAAATCTATGTATATTATTTGCTTTACTGGCAAGTAAATACTTTGAAATAATGCACACAAATTCACTTAAGCACAATAGTTGTCAAATTTCAATTTATTTCCATGTTAATTAGATGTTACATGCTAAGTTAGTAGAAAGAATTATAAAAAAGATAATTAAATATATTAATATAATTAAATACATTTAATTATAATTAAGCACAATATCTTTTAGGTCCATCAAGGCAATATTTTTTTCCATCCCCTTCGCGTTAGTCTGCATGTATCTTTTCATGTGAAGTGTCTCTTTTGGGCAGCTTATGTAGGAATCTTGTTTTCTTATCCATTCAGCCACTCTGTCTTTTGGTTGGAGCAATTAATTCTTTTCCACTTGAGGTACTTGTTGATAGAAATGTAGTTATTACCATTCTTTATTCTTGTTTTTGATACATTTTTTTCTTCTTAAAAATGTCCCTACAACATTCCCTGTAATACTAGCTTGGTGGTGATGAGTTCCTTTAGCTTATTTTTGTCTGGGAAGCTCTTTATCTGTCCTTCTCCTCTGAATGATAGCTTTGCTGAATAAAGAATTCTTGGTTGTAGATTCTGGGTTTTCATCACGTCAAATATTTTGTGCCAAGCCCTTCTGTCCTGCATGGTTTCCGTTAGAAAATCAGATGCCAGTCTTATGGGTGATCTTTTGTAGGTAACTAAGTGCTTTTGTCTTGCTGCTTTTAAGATTCTCTCTTTGTATTTAGCCTTTGGCATTTTAATTATAATGTGTCTTTGTGTGATTCTCTTTAGGTTCATCTTTTTTGGGACTCTGTGCTTTTTGGGCTTGTATGTCTATTTCCTTCACCAGATGAGAGAAGTTTTCCACCATTATTTCTTTAAATAGCTCTTTGACTTCTTATTTTCCTTCAGGTACCCCTATGACATGGATGTTTTTACATTTAATGGTTCCCATAGGCTCCTTAAATTATTATTATAGTCTTGTCTTCTTTTTACTTGCCATTCTAATTGAGTGTCCTTGGCTTCCCAATTCTCTATATCGGTGGTTCGAGCCTCTTTTTTTATCCACTCTGTTGATTTTGTCTAATATACTCTTCATCCCAGATAATGTGTTCTTTATTTCTTACTGGTTCCCTCTTATAATTTCCATTTTCATTTTTATCTTTTTTAACTTTGTTAAAGTTCTCACTGAATGCATCTACACTCTCCCTTAGTTCATTGAGAATCTTTAGAGCCAGTGTTTTGAACTCTGCATCTCTTAGATTGCTTAACTCCATTATTCCTGGGTCTCTGTTCTATTCTCTCGAATGGTTTCTTCTTTGTCTTCCCATTTTGACTGTCTTTTTGTGTCTGTTTCCATGTAGGGAGCAAAGCTCCTAAGTCTCCCTGTCTTATTAGTACAGCTTTGTGTATTAGGTGTCCAGAGGCACAATCCTGAGAGGGGGCCAGCTGCAGACCAAGTTTAGCCCCATGCCTCTCTGGGACCACCTGTTAAGATTCAACAAGTAACCCACAGATGCTGTGCTTATAGTTGCTTCAAGAAGTCATGCCAGAAACCAAGACCAGCAGCTACCATTGTGAGTCTTGGCACTGCTTATTAAGGAGCACCAGAATCTCCGAGGACACATCTGGATGTGGCTTGGGTGGGGCCGCGAGTTGGTGAAGGTCGAGTTTCAGGGACTCCTCTGGGCAAAACGACCTCTGTCATCCAGTTTGATGATGTCTCAGCTATGTCGGTATTGTGTCTGCACGCTGGGAGTGGGGAGGGCTCAAGGGAGGGAAAATGGATACTGTTGGCACTTCTCTCCCAGAGAGATCCTCATTCTGGCCCTTTCTCCAACAACTCATTATACTCCTGTAAGTCCATGGTGTTCCCCGAGCCACCGACCCAGAGCAAACAGGTCCATCACCGCAAGAGCCTGGTTGCGGACACAGACTCTTTAAAAGGCATCTGCAGCTGCTGCCGCCACAGCCTTTGTCCCCCTCAGCTGCTCAGGACTGAGCAGCCTCATGTCTTCGCCCCCGCCTCATCTTCTACATTTGTAGGTTGATTAATTCTCTCTCTAGTTGTAGTGCTTCTGTTCATCTAGATTCCAGGCAACTTTCCTTACCGTTCACTCTGTTTCTGTCCCAAATTTGATTTGGTTGCAAGAGGAATGAACAAAGCCTCTATCATCTATGCCATTGTTTTTCTTCCTGTAATTTTTTTAATTTTTATTTTATGGGGATCAAATATAAACGTTTTCTCCTAATTTTTGGACTATGAATTTTAGATTGTTGTTTATTTTGAAATATGCACTATGTTATAAAAGATACATCTTTTATTAACAGAACTGTTGAAGGAGATGGATAAAAAGGACTTGACTAATTTTGATATCAAATTGTGTCATCATTGTCATTTTAAGGTCTATTTTAAGCAAAATTGCATATGTCAGTGGTTTAAGTCAGTGGTTTAAGTCTTTATTTAATCAAAACTATCCCAAACTGTTTTTTTTCCTCCCTGTAAGCAGCAATTTTAAAAAAATATGCAATTTTGCTTATACTTCCCTTCAATGCTAATTGAGAAACAACCATATTCCCACTTTGCTATAGCCTCTATAGAAGAAAACCATGGGCATTTTAAGTGGAAAAAATTTTCTAATTAAGAACTTTTTTCAGATAATTTTGTAAATAATTAATCAATTGGAGTTTATTTAATTGACTTTACCTACTAACAGTGGGGAAAACTTAAACTACTATATCAGCTGTGAGAGCCTCATCACTCAGAGACCTCAGACATGGTCTGTTACTGTTTAGAAATATGTCATTTCATGCAAGGAAAGACTGGTACTGAGGACATCATTAAAAAAGAGATCATGAACTCTTAAGTAAAAAAATAATAATTTTTCCCATCAGGTACTTTCAGAAGCAGATTTACCATGTACCAAGTGAAGCTTAATATTCAAGGCCCCTCACACAGATCCTTTCCAAGACCAAGAGACAAGCTCTAGCAATGATAAAGCATGACTCCAAAATCATATAAGCTCCAGGCACCACAAAACAGGACTCTACCTCAAGACATATCTGTGAAGGAAACAATGTGATATTGTAAAAGAAAGAGCACTATGCAGAATGTCTAGAGGGTGATTCCAGTTTGTTTGGCACTAACTTGCCAATTATCCTTTTAAAATTATCTAAACTTGCTGAGCTTTAGTTTGTCTACCCGTGAAATGATACCAGTAATTAACCTATCTCATCTTCTTCTCTGAGTTATGTAATAGTTCCCTGAAATAATATTTGAATAATAAAAAACTGAAGAGTTTAAAAATAATTAATAATTAACTGAAAGTGTAAATATTAAAAAGTATTTGACATTAGTGTTTTGAACATGAGGCCACTATTGTTCAACGAAGTCTGCAGCAGAAATTCGTAAGCATTCTCCATAACTTAAGTCTATGTTCCTCCTACAGAAGACATTTCACAGCCCTGCTCAAATGAGAAGTGTAATATAATCCTGGATTGCAGTGGATTGACCTTTTTTGACTATTCTGGAGTCTCCATGCTTGTCGAGGTATTTAAACAGGTTGTGTTTGGACTGATTCCTTCCCTTCTCTTCAGTAATATATTTTTCACCAGCTACTCTCTCAGCTCCAAAGCCTTGACCCTGCTTGTTTCAATATTCATCTCACTCATTCTCTCCAAAAGACATAGAACTTTATGCCTTCCACTACTGTAGAATTCTTTTCAGGAGATTCCATCAGGCTTCTAGATATGTGTCTGTGTGGGGGCCAGAGGTGAGGGTATTCACATGAGATAATCAGAGAATGGAATATAGACTATAGTGAGCATAGCATATACTGGGCAATCAACTTAAGGCTTATAGAAAGAAAAAGAAAAGTCCCCTTCATGAGCAAGTGGCCTTGGTGGTGGCAGGATGTTCTCTCTCACATAATTCCTGGGTATAGTTTGACCCAATACCATTTCTGGTTTCTGAAAACAGTGCCCACTGAATGAGCTTTTCTCCATTCTGTTGGATGATGGTACTTACTTCTCTTCCCCGTGATCTCCATGGGATCTCCACAATCCTGGTATGAAAAAGATAAAGTTTTCTTTCTTTAAAACTGACATAGCTTGCAAGGCCTCATTTCCACAGATGGAAGAACTCCTAATTTTGCCAATTCAAGGAAAACTCAGATACTTCTGAAATTTTTCCTCTTTTTTTTTTTTTTGAGTAAGTACTAAATCAACAAAGAATGTACCCCTTTCTTATTTCCATTTGTCCTCTACTTCAATACCCTAAATTTCGGGGAAGATCTTGCGGACATCTATTCCTCAGCTGTCATCAATCCTCTACCAGCTTCTGTTGCATGGAGCTCAGCTCACCTTATCTTCTGGTGTTTGCTCTCAAGGGTTTCTCTTATCCTGGCATCATTCAGTCTCCCCTGTGTGTGGCTTTGTATTGAGCCATAAACTTAATCAAAACCTATGAACATTTCGGAAGATCTTTTTCTGCATATCTCCCTCTTTTCCATTACTCCCACAAATTTCACCCACCCAATCCTTGCTGAACTCCGGTTCTTTCTGCTCAGCTCAGTGAAGCAGCTGCATTTTGCATGGATGCCTCCTCATCATGCTGCAGTGGCCAAGAACCTGCTTTGCCACAGAAAGCTGGGATGATTGGAGAACTCACCTCCTTTGTTTTCGTTCTCTCAGGGAACTGAGTCATGTGTTGCCTGTTCCCATTGTCTGAAAACAGTTGTTTGTATATTTTTGTTTAGTTGTCTATTTATTTATGGAGGGTGGGATAGTCTTGTATTATTTACTTATCAGGGCCAGAAGTAGAGATAGGGTATTGACTTTTAAACAGTTAAGACCAGTAGTCTTTAAAAGGTTTCACACTGTAGATTTTGATTTACTTGTGGTGTTGCATAACTGTGTCTCTATATATTTATATTTTAAAATTAAAATATCCAACCTTTCAAACTCAAGAGAGGACAAAGATGAACTTTAACATGGCTTTCCTATGAAGACAGGTGGGATAGGTGGTGGGGAAGCTGCTTAAAATGTGACAACCTGAGAATGTAGTCTCAGCAATACCATACTAGCTGTGAGGTGCTGGCGAAATCAGCTAGCCAGTCTGGATCTCAGTTTATCCATTTTGTAAAAATGAGAGGTGATTTTGTTTCAGTATTAGTAGATATTCAAAAAACAAATAAATTATGCAAAACAATTGAATTTAAATATCTTAGGCCTTAAATCTAGTTGCTATTTTTTTGTAAATCACTCTTTTCCCCATGTTATATGCCTTTATTTTCTTATTGTTCACTATAAAAACTACACAATTTAGCATAGGGTTCAACTTGAACACTTTTCTCGCATCTCTACCTGGACTGTAGATAGGCAGTCCCTCTTTATCGGAGGGCTTCTTGTGCTCGGCATTTCTATTTACTCTGTGTTGTCAAGGTCTAGGGGAGTGCTGTTAAATTTCTGTACATAAGTATAATGTGGGGTGTTCATTTAAAATGCAATCTTCTGAATCCTGGTTCTGGCCCAGAAATCTTAATTTTAGACAACCATAGGCGATTCTGAGGCATATGATTCAAGGATCATATTTTGAGAAACGGTAGACCAGGATGTTCTTTCACTGGGAAATGCCAGTATGTACTTATTTTAAATTGTATTTTAAATGTGTTTCTGAATATACTCTAATATTTATTAACTGTCCTCTCTAGATATTGCAATTCTAAAACTTACAGTTTGTAAAGAGGACAAAATAATTACCTATTTCCACTGAATTTAGAACCTAAGGTTGAAAATTCAGAGGAATCCAAATAATCCAGGTACTGGGTCTGATGTAAAAGGGCTTTTTAAAGTTCATCTTAATGTTTTTCAAATACACAATGGAATGGTGGAATAAATCAACTGATGCCTTTTATTTTTATGTTGGCCATTTGCCCTTGGCCTGATGTCTTTCATCTGTATACACAAAACCAGCAGTTTTGTATTAGTTTACCCTTTTTAATTATTGTATTACTATTTGATTTTATCATGATTATAGTAAATTATGATGTATGCTAAGAACATAGGCTTAATTTAAAGACAGTCAAATATTAGGGCCCAAATATTAGCTATACAACTAGTTCTATGACCTGGACTTGAGTATTTGTTTGCTTTTCTGTAAACTGGAAGTAGAAATACCCACTTTATCAAATTGTTGTGAAGCTTAGAAATAATGTATTACATAAAAACACATAAAGTTTGTAGAAGTAAACATTTTCTTTTTTTTTTATTTTGCACAAAGTATTTCTTAAAATTCAAATAATATCATTGCAACTAATACTATGTCTTAGTTGCAGCCATCCTGAAAGAGAGTCCAGAGTAAAGAGCCACAGAGTCTCTTTAGCCTTGCATGTCTTCCTGCTTCTTAATAACACTTCCTGGATTATTTTCTTAGTTACTTTAGTACATAGAACATTCTCCTAGGAGTTATAGGTTGAAGGAAATGGAGTGACTTCTATTTATTCTTGTACTTAGAACACTAGCAAGGTCAGTGAACTGCAGATTATTTATCAGTAAACACAAACCACCCATAGCAATGTGTTTGTACTTCACTGAGCCTAAGAAAAAGTCAAACACTGACAGGTCACCTTGAATTAATCATTTTAACTTACAAAAACAAGAATCGTTTATTCAATGGCCAAGGCTCAGTTCATGTATCATTTATTTGTTTATTTGTTTGCTTGTTTATTCTTGCTCATCTCTTATTCTACAATTCTTTTAACATACAAATAACTGCTTACTGCTGGAAGAATATAAGAGAAAGTTTTGGATGCACCATGCATATTCTTAGAAATGCAGCTTTTTACATTTTATATGTAAGATGTATCACTATTATATAAAAAAAATCCATCCTCCAGTTACTAAAACTTCCAGAATTACTTGCAATGTGTTTTCTGGGCTGACTTTGGTCTGGGTGAATTTAAGATCAAGGCCTTGTTCTTACTCAAGATTTTCTTAGACATAAATGAGGTAAGACTCTACAGTATGGCAAGCAAATTATTTAGGGTGTCTTATCTTGAAGAACCTTTAAAAATGGAAATTGGGCAGTCAAACTTGGCTTTGATTATAGTGAGGCTCTCCACTCACCATTCATGGATGGAATTTAGAGAGTCTATGAATATACCCAAATTGTAAAATTGACAGTCAGCAGTTTTTATCACTTCCACAAATGGGTCTTTGACTTACAATAAAAGGTGATTGAGAACGATTTTATGTAATTCTCATAGGGAAGAAAAGGTGATGTTTTTAATTTTATTGAATGAAATGGAAAATGTAAGCAGCCAAACTTATTTGCGTAAAAGGTGAATGCCCGGCTGCATTCATCTGTGTTAAAATGGTCTCTTAGAAGGTTGAAGAATATGCCTGACTGTATAGCAATGCCTCCCTCTAGTGGTCTGATATCATAAACGTTGGCTCTTTTTACAAGAAATTCTTCTGAAGCTCACCTTATATCATGCATTAATTGTGGATATGCTATTTTAATCCTTCCAGGCTTACATAGACTGTATCAGCAGGAGTGTGGATGTATCATTAACCCATTGCACAGGTGAGGAAGAACATGTCCTCGGCTAACATTAATCTTAGGCAATTCAACATAATCTTTCTGCTGCTATGCATCTCACACCACATGTGCTTTTTCGTAGCTTCCTTGATAAAAGCAATGAAGTACTGTGGAAACCTAGACTCAGAGAAACCAATTTTTTTTGAATCGGTATCTGCTGCAATAGGTAACATCCATTCAAATAAGGTAAGACGATTATGCTAGCTGCAAGAGTTATAAGAAAAATTAGAATGTAAAATCAAGGGATTTGCATATTAAATATATTAGCCTATTACCCCAGTGGCATCTAAAAACTATTAAAATTTCCACCCTTAGAGCCTTCTGCTACAAATAATGTTTCCATTTTTTTTGAATCAGTTACAAACATTGTAAAATTATTAATAATTTGGATCTGCCAACAATATTACAGTTTAGAGGATTTGGTGATCACCTATTAAGTATAAACTGCTTGCTTATAAAATTAATGCTTCTTTCAGGATTCACTATCCTGGGAATTTGAATCTACTTCTGTCAAATGCAAAAACTCTAAATATAGCCCTCTAGCTTTTTTCTGTTCTGATACCTTTGACTCTAAACTCATATTGCCATCTTTAGGAATACTATTTGCAAAGCCCAGCACTCACATGATCCGAAGTGTCAGTTATCTTCCACATACTGGGCTTTGTGATTAGCTTTAGCATTGTTCCTAGAACTTTGATTTCCTGTAATTTTTCTTTGATTTTAAATCATTTTGCCTTTCCTCATCCCTAGAACAGCATTTGGTGCTTCCCAGAGTCATCCCTATTACATTCCATCAGAACTGTATGTATTTATAAAATAATAACACTACTATTACTATCATTATTACCATTATGACATAACATTTTTTGAATGCCCATAATGTTCTAGCAATACACTAAGAGCTTTACCCATATTAATTCACTAAATTTCCCACAACCTTAGGAGATAGATACTATTATTTAATCCATTTTCAGAAATGAGGAAATTGAGGCCCAGAGAAGTTATACCATTTGTAAGTGGTAGAGCTGGTTTCAAAGTCAGCACTCTGATTTTGGACTTGGAGCTTTAAACTGCTATATTCTGAGGTCTCTTGGAATATGTTTTCTTAGCTTGGCTGTAAGCTTGCTTCAGTTACTTCTTTTCTTCAACTGTGGTACTGACTTAAGAGTTGAGTCAATAGCATGTGTTTATTTTGTCCTCTTCTATTTCAGAATTTGAGCAAACTCAATGACCAGAGTGAAGTCTGAGACCGTTTTGCCATGGTGCGGCTCTTGTCTTTAGCAACTGCCCTGAAGAGGACATACTCTAGCATTTTGAACAACCTTTTATTATTATTATTATTTTTTTTGCTTAAATCTATTGATGACTTCTACTACAACAAATATGATGTGACCTAATCATAGAGCCTCTGGTCAAGATTTGCTAACAATTTTTTTTCTAATTTTTGTTAGTAAACAGATTCATAGTAGGTTATTGTATAGTCATTTCACAAAAATTGATATGCATTAGTTTTAGCATACTGAAAGCTTAAACATAAATTTATTTGCTTTTACCAGAGTATTTTGTGTTGTTTTATTTCAGTTTTGTAGTAAGTTAATTTGTAAGACTGAGAAACACTTTGTCAGAAGGGATTTAGAACATTTGCAAGCCATTTGTAAAAATTCAGAATCATCTGTAACTAATACAAGGGCAAATGTGACATTTTCCCTTACCAAATAACAAAGCCATTAAACATCAATAAGTTAAATGTTATTTTATATAATATGATATGAAAGTCACAAAAAATAATTCAAACAAAAATACATGACAAACTAGGAGTCATTGCTCTCCATATATTTCCATGCATGGAAGTTTTCAGAAATGTTTTCAAGATATCTGGTATCCCAATGAAACCAAGTTCTTGACATTAGTCTGTTTTACTGTGAATATTGGAAATGCTTAGAACATTCAGAACTGATAGCCCTAATCTCCACATCCCCACCCCATGAAAGTCTCTGTTTTCAGCTTAATTTTTTGGAGCTAGAGGATGAGGAAGTTATACATTTTATATTTTTTCACAAACATGATTTTTCGATAAGAAAATACCACCATTAGAATAGCTTTATACTATTCTGATATAAGATTAACTACAGTAGTTTGAGACTTTTCTATTTCAGAGAGATAGTCAATACAATATATTTATCTCTCTATGTTTATATATGTTTGTTTTTCTTTTATTACAAGAGAGTTTGGATATGTAATTATCTATAAACCCACCAACAGTGTAATTGACAAACACCATAGACAAGGCTGACCTGTATAAATTATTCTTTTCATGCTTGTACATATATTTTAAATCATATACAATTACATTGGTTAATACTTTTTATCTAGCAACTTGATTTACCTATTAAGAAATTCACTCTCAAAGATAGGTATATCTACATAATTATCCTAAGTCTTAAGGCATTTTAACCATTCTAGAAATGACCAGTGTAGCAAAAAGCCAAGTACTTTAAAGTGAGTTTGATAAATTGGTTGAAAACAAAATTAAAAGACTGGTAATTTAGGTATTTTTGTGGACATCTGTAAAAGTAAATTCTAGTGCCTGCCAAGTGATATAACAGTCCCTAGAAAACACATTGTTAACATTCACAGGGCTCTTAATTTTAACATTAAGTCCTAGGTAGGACAATGTAATAAAATGACAGAGGAATAATAAACATTTCAAATTCTCATTAACTTATCCATTTTAATTTTGATTGACATAAATACAAAAAAATAATCTTTGCCCCACAGGAAGCCTCAATCCCTTTATCACTAATTTGAATTGAAATGAGTGAGGCTAACTTTTATTCGTATCAAATACTGTTTCAAGCAAAGGTGGAGGTAATATCTGAAAATAAAATATCCTTAGAGAAAAGAATTTCACTCTGTCCTATTAAATTATTACAATGATGGATGGTGGCTACATTCATTATCTGTAATCTATTGGTATTGGCACAAACATGAGTCAAAAAAAGTTAAGAAAATAAAATATATTTTGCTATGTATAAATTGATATTTTTCTATGCAAATTTGGCCTATAATTAAATTCACACACAGCAGTAATTTTCTAATTTGTTAGGGATTTGGACCATAGATGACATTAAAATCATTATAGTTAATCAATGGATAGATTGTTTTATTTTATTGTTAAAGCTAACACAATATTGTCGGAGCAGATATATTGATTACATTTCAATGTTTGTAGTAGAAGTTTTATGGGTGAAACTTAATAACCAATAACTTTGGTGTCAAATGTTAATGTTATTTTCAAAGTAAAGGAAGACCAAAACATATACCATATATAGCCCTTTGTTTTAAGGCTTATCCTGTATACCAAGGTAACAATGACTGTTGACTTAGAGAAACTCCCTGGAATTGAGTTCTGAGAGCTCAACAGCTGAATATAACTTTTAAGATTCTAAAACACAAATGTTTATTTCAAAGGAGGTATTAACAATACAGTAAATTCCTGATGCTAGAATGTTTCCAGTCACACTGAATTACTTTTATAAGATCACCTTATTTTCATATATGATAGAATACCTCCATAATACTTATGGTAAAATAAAATTGAAAAAATTAGAACTAACATATAATAATATTGAAGACCTAATAGACTGACATTTATAAGTTAAACATTAAATGTGTAACCAGGAAAAGACTGTTAATATTACATTTATGCAAATTAAATACCTTTTAAATTTTACCATTTGTCTTTTATTTTAAAGGTTATTTGCCTCTGATTATATAATCCAAGTGTCATGAGGTCAAGCTTGAACTACTTTCAGTAATTTATTTGACAGATCTTTATTCTATAACATAATATAATGAGAAAAGAGATCTTTCTTTAATGAAAACATTAATGTGTTAATACCTTGTATGGCTAATGTTTAACATTTAATTATTACTAAAATATATTAGTATATTTAACATACATATGCCTTAGAGATGCACATTCTGTATTCTCTGGGACGATGGTCTAATTCACTACAGAATATGATTTTTGGCAATGAGTTTGTTGCTAGTTTTCAAATAGGGAGTGAAGAGGTGCTTTCACAATACAGAGATTTTTAGTAAAAACCATGCAGTCTAATATGCTACATTTACTATTTTCTATTTTTCAATGCATTTAATTATCTTTTTTATAATTCTTTCTACTAACTTAGCATGTAATATCTAATTCACATGGAAATAAATTGAAATTTGACAACTATTGTGCTTAAGTGAATTTGTGTGCATTATTTCAAAGTATTTACTTGCCAGTAAAGCAAATAATATACATAGATTTCTTAGACTGAGCACAGAATATTATGTGTTGAAAAATTCTAGAAGTATCCATTCTTGTTTTTTTGTTCTTACAGAATTTCATCCTAAGATCGTGAGGTAAGCGCTTTAACTTGTGAAAATCTGATAAGGACACTTTTGGCTGCAAGACAACATTTACGTAATTCTTTTTCACCAGGATTACATCCTTTTTGTTCTAATTTGAATTAATGTGCACATTTTAATTTTTGTTTGGGTGCTTCATTTACATGCTATTGTCTTTCCTGTGTTTCTAGGCCTCATTCATTATTCTTCAGCATTTTAAAGGTTACTGCTCCAAGAACAAGAAGATAAGGCGCTCTCCTAGGTGTTGAAGATACGGTAGTGAATAAAACAGAAAAACAAACAAACAAACAAAAAACAATCCCTGCCCTCATGAAGCTTACATTCTAACAAAGGAAAACAAAAAATAAATTGAATTTATTTATTTATTTGTTTGTTTGTTTGTTTATATTAAATATATTGGGGTGACATTGGTTAATAAAATTAAAGTGTACAATTCGATAAAAGGTCATATGTGTATTGCATTGCATGTTAAATACCCCAGGTCAAATTTCTTTTATCATCACATATTTGATCCCTTTTACCCTTCTCTACCTCTCTCTTCCCCCTTTTCTAATGGTAAACCACTAATCTGTTGTCTGTGTCTATAAATATTTGTTTGTTTTTTGTTCATTTGTTGCTACAGTTTTATATCCTGCATATGAGTGAAATCATATTGTTCTAAACTTTTTCTGTCTCACTTATTTTGCTTAGCATGATAATCTCAAGATCTATCCATGTTGTTTCAAATGGCAGTATTTCATCTCTTCTTATGGCTGAATAATATTCCCTTGTATATATCTATCACAGCTTCTTTATACCATCATCTATTATAGGACATTTTGATTGCTTCCATGTCTTGGCCACCGTGAATAATGCTGCTATGAATATCAGTGAGAAAATATATTTTCAGATATGGGTTTTCAAACCTTTGGGGTAAATACCCAATAGAGGAATTGCTTAAACATGTGGTAGATCAATTCTTAGTTTTTTTGAGGAAACTCCATACTGTTTTCCAAAGTGGCTATACCAATTTGCAGTCCCTCCAGCAGTGTATGAGGGTTCCTTTTTCTCCACATTTTCTCCAACATTTGTTATTACTTGTTTTGTTGATTATAGCTATTCTAACAGGTCTGAGATAGTATCTCATTGTGGTTTTGATTTGTAGTTCCCTAATAGCTAGTGATGTTAAACATCTTTTCATATATTTGTTGGCCATTTCTATGTATTTTTGGAAGAAGAGTCTGTTCAGGTACTCTGTCCATTTTTTTATTGGATTATTTGTTTTTTGTTGTTATTGAGTTGTATGAGTTCTTTGTATATTTTGGATATTAGGCTCTTATTAAAGGTGTTACTGGCAAATATCTTTTCCCATTTGGATGGTTGTCTCTTTATCTTGTTGACAGTTTCTTTTGCTATACAGAAGATTTTTAGTTTGATGTAGTCCCATTCATTTATTTTTGCTTTTACTTCTCCTGCCTTTGAGGTTATATTCATAAAGTCCTCTTTTAGTTCAAAGTCCCTGAGTTTAGTTCCTAAATTTTTGTCTTTGCAACTTATTGTTTCAGGTCTTATATTCAGGTCCTTAATCCATTTTGAGTTAATTCTTTTTATTGCAATTGCAAAAGGAATTAATTTTTTCAACTTCTTTTTCTGATACTTCATTATTAAAGTATAGGGACACTATGGATTTTTGAACATTGATTTTGTACCCAGAGAGTTTACTATATTTATTATTTCTAATAGTGTTCTTGTGAATTCTTTAGGGGTTTCTATATTGAGAATCATGTCATCTACGAATAATGTCAGTTTGACTTCTTTGTTTCCTATTTGGATGCATTTTATATCCTTCTCTTGCCTGATTGCACTCTCTAGGACCTCTAATGTTATATTGAATAACTGTGGCAATAGTGGACAGCCTTGTCTTGTTCCTGATCTTAAAGGAAAAGTTTTTAGTTTTCACCATTAAGTATAATGTTGGCTGAAGGTTTGTTATATATGGCCTTTATTATATTAAGTTACTTTCCTTCCATATCGATTTTGTTAAGTGTTTTGATCATAAAGAGATGCTGTATCTTGTCAGAGGTTTTTGTTTGTTTGTTTTTTTTCATCTATTGATATGATCATATGATTCTTATTTTTTAATTTGTTTATATCACATTAATAGATTTGCATATGTTGAATCATCCCTATGCCTCTGGGATGAAGCCCACCTGATCATGATGTAAAATCTTTTTAATATGTTGCTGTATTCGGTTTGCTAGTATCTTACTTATGGTTTTTGCATCTAAGTTAATGAGAGATATTGGTCTGTAGTTATCTTTTTGTGTATGTTAACTTTACCAGATTTTGGTATTGGCCTATAAAATGAGTTAGGAAGTATTGCTTCCTCTTTGAATTTTTGAAGAGTTTGAGGAGAATAAGTGTTAAATCTTCTTTGCATGTTTGGTAGAATTCACTGGTAAAGCCATCTGGTCTTGGACTTTTACTCTTTGGTAGGCTTTTGATGATTATTTCAATTTCCATACTGCTGATTGGTTTATTTAGATTTTCCAGTTCTTTTTGATTCAGTCTAGGAAGGTTGCATCTTTCTAAGTACTTGTCTATTTCTTCTAGGTTACTAAATTTGGTTTTATATACTTTTTCTTAGTATTTTTGTGTGATCCTTTTTATATTTGTGGCGTTTGTCA